ACGTCGTTAATGTAACGTAGGCGTTTCGCAGTCTCATAAAAATATAACGATTAGAATAGTCAAAGCTAGATTGATCTCCCAGTAATACCAGCACTCTGAATGTGAATATTTGATATGTCTGACGCGTGCGTATCCTGTATTTAGGGTTGCCACGTACCACAATCATTTTGCGCTGGCGCACGATTGCCCGCAACCTTCAGTCGATCCTCTGACATTAGCCAATGCTCAAACGGTGACGTTGTCATCATTCTCGGGTGGGGGGGCTCTCGTCGGACGAAGGCCGTGCCGACAAAAGTGCCCGGTCGCCGCACAACTAACACCGACGTCATATTACGTCCTGCTCTTTATCTCGCCAGCCGACTCTAGCTAGGGCACGCGCGCACGCCCCGGCGCACGTTACAACGCGCGCGACGAATTACGGAGCCGATCGCTCGCGTCGCCGCGTGCGACCTTCGACCTCGACCGACCTTCAACTGACCTTTCGTCCGACCCAGACGGGCATGCCGATGATGATTGCCGGCACCGAGACTCCGGCGATGAGCGCGATGCCCACCGGCGCCCCCACGAGCGTTCCCAGCTGCCATAGGATCTTCTTCTTCCGGCTCCATGGCTTCTTTCCCCAGAAGGTGCATCCCGACGGGCTGCACAAGCAAGACGGTACAATCGCCGTTAGAGCGCTCAGCCGTTGCATCGCGCGACGCGTGCCGTTCAACGTCTTAAAGGCAACTTCAAATGTGATATAGTGCTGCATGCGCACTGTTTCCCAACCTGATGGAATGACCCATATATATAGTATACGTTAATGACGCATACCTGAGATAGTGCAGGTCAGAGATTTCCTTCATGCACAGCCAGCAGAATTCGGAGCCGCACACCGCGCAGGTCATGTGATTGCATGAACCGTCGTCCATCTTCATGATGTAAGCCTGGCATTGCGGACATGGCTTGATATTATCCCCTGTAACATCACATCAACACTCACCTATAGCTAAACATTAGCTTGATATTATCCCCTGTAACATCACATCAACACTCACCTATAGCTAAACATTAGCTTGATATTATCCCATGTAACATCACATCAACGCTCACCTATAGCTAAACATTAGCTTGATATTATCCCATGTAACATCACATCAACGCTCACCTATAGCTAAACATTAGCTTGATATTATCCCCTGTAACATCACACCAACACTCACCTATAGCTAAACGTCACTTAATCAATTAACGCCCTCTGAGAAAGTGGCCCACTGATCCCCATATACTAACTTATTATATTAGTTAGCATATAGAGATCGGTGGTGATGCCACACACGAGAAAGGTCTAGTGATGTTTGTCTTACGTTTCTTACTAAGTAAACTCGGCAGAGATTATGGAAAAACAAGTAACTAGAAATTGGGAATCTTCAAGGCAACTAATTATGGCCAATACATTTGCCAACATGGCGTTTGCTTCGGATCAATGATGTGCAGTCAATCCCACTAAAAGTTTTTACGTGGCGGCGTTCACCCCAATGCATTTCGCCAATATTTGACAGGCTGGTGTTATTGATAGAAATTCTCGCGAAATGAAATATGTGGGAGGTGTACATTTCTCAGTGAACAACATGAGTATAAGTGAATTACTGACTTATTGATTCCATATATAGAGATAAAAAAACCACAGTACCCACACACACGCCCGCACGCACGCACGCACGCACACACACACACACACACACACGTCACAATACATTCACATACACATATGCACGCACGCACACGCGCATGCACACCCACACACACGTATAGCGTGTGGCCTCTCACACAAAACAGTAATTGATAATAAAGCTGTCTTCTGTTGCACGCACATCGCGCGTGACAGCAACCGCTAATGAATTTAATTGTCTCCTGCTACCTGTCCATCCCAGGTGACAGAAAATTCGAAGGCAAATTTCTGCTTGGCATTCCCCTCCTTCGTGACGGGGCAATGCCTAATAAACGTGTATTCATAACGCACACGTGGGCATCACGTGCGACAGTAATATTTCGTGACTGTGTCCTCCTTGCACATCCGATTCCCATGTGACAGTATTTGCTCGCAAGCAAATATTCGGATAGTGCTCCCAGTACATGCCTTGACACTAAACAGCATGAAATCTATGTATGTACGTGTGTATACAGTGCGTAGAGTGTGCACGCATGTTCCACGACTACTACGTAGATATAGTAGTGTAGCCGTGTAAGTTTCATGTGTACTGTGTATATATTCGTTGGCTATAATGTACCTTTGTTTCATGTATGTCTGTGTCTGTGTGTACATTAACCTATGTATTACTGGATTTATATTGTATGTATGTGTGTCCTAGCTGATTTATGTTTAGTATATATACATATACATACATATATATATATAGATATATATTAGTGTGTGTACGTACGTTCCATGTGCGTGTCCTGGCTGTACATGGACGAGGAGCGGACGCGGTGTGAGCGCTGCGCGCGCGCCGCGTCGCACGTCTGGTTCGGATGCCACTCGGCCTTGCAGTGGTAGCAGAAGTCCGTCTGGCAGCCGACGCG